TTTATAAAAGTTTGCGTTTGTTGTATTGTCAGGCATCAAAAGCTTATTCTTTTGTCATATCCTTCTTAATTCTGGCAGTCAAATTGTCGTTTTTCAATTTGTCCCTGTTTCTGTTTCGGAACGTCGTATATCATGAAAATATTTTTTTGTAAATCCTTTTTTTATTTGCCGAAATATGGATATTCGAAGACGTCAACAAAGGTTATCTTGCATGTGTTGTCTTTAAAAGGCAGTAATTCAAGTGCCTTAAAATCATTTTTACACAGGAACGTAACGTCAAATTAAGGTAAGGACATTTTAGAGAAAATGGATCGAAATCTCAATTGATAATTATACGTATTTTTATACAAATAATGGCTAACACGTAATGTCCATATATTGATTTACATTCAAAATTTCCATTTGCACACAATGATTTATAAAACGCAGTTAAACTATTGTACTTTGTCTTTTTTGTCTAAACATGCAGTTGATTTAATACAATTTGATACAAGTGTCGGATACAGAGCTTAATGTTTTGTTGTGCTGTTAACCATAACGGACTATAAAATTAATAAAGTTTGACTTACTGTTTTAAAGAAAATTTGAATTGGCCCTTAGTAATGTGTAAAATACATAAATGTTGACTATCGTTGCTGATGCTGACAACTGCAGAAAAAAAAAATATCTATTTTCTTGACTTCATTGTTGTGAGATTCTTATCTTTTAATATTCAAACACAAAAGTTTTGTTGTGATAATTGCAGTAGAAAACAATGAAGTTGTTCTTGGTTTGCCTTCTTCTGCCAGTGGCTCTTGCTGCACCATTAGGTAACTTTTAAAATACTTACTTTGATGATTATATACATATAAGTGGACATGTTATTGTAATGTTGTTCAAACAGGTCTATTGTTTACTGGGGTAAACAAATAAGAATAAAGAAATAAATATACATTTATAGTTTCTACAGGATTGTTTATTGGTAGCACATATTATGGACGGACTCACATAATTTTATTCTGTCGGTAGTTCGATTTTTCTAATACAATTCCCTAACATAACTTTGACTGATCACATAAGTAAATCCATTTCCTCTGATGATTTTTAAGCTTAATCTTTAATAGGAGTGGCATTGTGTAGCTGTTTATTTTGCATTTATTACATTTTCGTTTGAAATAAAGTTAACTGGCATTTTGACAGTAAACGTTATGTAGTTTTAATCACAAAGACCTCGACATTTCGACATTTGTTTTCATAGATTTACATGGCAGGCTGATTGGGAGCATTTGAAGGCTACGACTTTATTATCTCACTCCGGATCGCGTTAACTTATTTAAATGTTTTAATGCAATAAACCTATTTTCTTTTTCAGAAGATTCGAGGAGATTCATTTTCGGTACCTCTACCGTAGATAGCCTGTGTAAGTGCTAGATAAATTAATTGCAAAATATCTATCCTTTAATGCTGTCTGAGTAAATAGGCGTTTTCAAAGTTCAATCTGGATGGTTACCTGTACACAATGATTTAATGTGCGTTTGGAAGAAATGGGTGAGAATGGGTTGTGTTAGTGCATTTTGTATATTCACCCATCCACCTTGTTCCTGTTTATGCTTTTTTGAATTCCAAACCTGTTTTTTACAGAAATTGAACACACATTTGGAAGAAAAAAATGAAATTTGCACTAGGTGTTGTTTTGAATAACAATGGAATAAATCCACTTTTGTCACAAGGAGTAATTCACTTTCATATATTTAGCATTGAAAATTGAACTTAAATGTGTATCATATTCATATTTTCAGTTGACCTTAATACCTTGAAGTGTGATGTACAAATCATGCTTGATGTGGTAGGAAGTGATCCAACGGAACAAGCTTGTGAGAAAGAGTGTCATGTGCTGATCAAGGTCCATAGTTGTCCCCTTATTTGTCATGCGTATGTCGACGTCATTCAATTTTGTCTCAATATATTTTATTTCCCATGTCTATGAAAGAAATGTCGAAAATATAATGAATGGGAGAAGGACAACACATGATGAAAATATTTTGTTAACATGTCTTTAATGAAAATATACTCTATTTTCAAATATTACAGCATTTTCAAATTTGTATTTCATGTTACAATTACAGTAATGCACACTTTATGAAATTTTCTACATGTCAATGCAACTTTCTAGACATTTCGCTTCAAATTTTAGGGAACAATTGGCAACGACTTACGTTGTTTAGGCTATATCGTCACGAGACCTCTTGGAAAAGAATGATTATGTTACAAAGTAATTAATGAAACTTTTCAGATTCCAGAATCTAGTCGTCTACTTCCACGAAACACCAAAGCCTGGAGATCAGCATGCCCACTGCGGGGGACTAGCACTAACAACTGCCTCTGCTTAAATTTACAGTATGAAGAATTAAAAACTAATGTGATCAGAAAGTTGTTTTGTTATTGTCCCTTTTCCATATGAAGTGATATGTAGACAATTTGATGATGTTTAAACACGGCAAATTTTAAACAATGCATGCTCGGTTTTTTTGAGCATTGGTTATTTGGATGTAATCCGGTTCTCAGCTTAACCAAATTCGAAATTCATTGCGTAAAAAGAACTTTAAATGTATGTATAAAATCTTAAAAGAAATTTGTGCAACCGTGGACTTAAAGGTCTGTTTATACATAAGTATTTAAAGCGGTAATTTGTCAAAAAGTGAAAGAATGACCAGTATTGTAAACATAAGTTAAATGGAATGAGAAGAATGGGCAGAAAAAGATGTTAAATCAGTTATAATGTAGTTATTTGTAGTGAATTTAGTATGCTTGACTTCCTTTAATTGTTTAGAATATAAAAATGGTCATTTATACACTGCAAATAAACCTTTAAACATGATCTACATTAAAGGGTTTATCAGTTTGTTAATTTTGATTACGTTAGCAGATCGTGACATCTTTAATTTAAAAATGTCTGTTTAATGCTATTTCGAAATTGCGCACATTTTCCCGTTATAGAATTGTCAGACACGATTTGAAAATGTCCATGTATGCAACTGATGGCGATACTAATACTTTTCTTTTTTTCAAAATATATGACAAACGATTCTTCCATCACCTTTAAGGATCCATTGCTTAAATGAATGCTTTATATGGTCAAAAGTCTGTGTTAAAACCAACTGCCGTATACAATCTACTAGAAGGTGTTTATGTAGTATTTAATACCATTTAGACCTTAAATTTACCGAAATGATCATGTAAAATAATCTAACACGCGTCAATGTAATTCTTTTCCAAATGTATATAAATGTTTACTTTTAGACTGTTTTTTTTTTTAGTTTATTGAGATATTTGAATATTCATTTTATAAGTACAAACAAATGTTATACATGTATTGCCCAAAAAGCCTACAAATGCTAGAACTAAAGATGATTGAATACAGATAATAACAGTGGTTCTATACTTAGTCATTTAGGTTAAAGGTTTCTATAGGCGTCATATGACCTAAAATGTGTTGCTGAACAGTTATAACAAACAGAAACAAAGTTAAATGTGGCATGGATAAGCTGACATTTATTTCTTCCAACAGTTAACAACAATTAATAAATAAAATTTGATTAAAATAATCCATTCCCGTTAAGCTATGACATTGTACTTTACTTCATAACATTGTATAAAAAGTTCGTTGCTACGATATTGCACAAGTGTAATTTAGGGTTGCACACTCACTGACACAAGTGTTTTCTTATTGAGTGTTATGCAGCATTTTGTTATAAAAATGGTCCACAACAAAGTTGTCATACACTCGTCTATTGGCCGTATAGCGAACCCCAACTTTTGTACAGACGGGCACCAGCGTCAAAATAAAAGTAATTATTTTCTTGGAAAACGAATGTTTAGAGTTGCATATTCTCTCTAACTTTTGTTTTACAATATAGTTCTGCTAGCAACATGTACAAAGTGAAACGGACAATTGTGAAGAGTTTACATATTGTACGATAGGACGACGTTCTGATTCCCAGCCCTGGTATCTGCAATTATGTATATGCTATATACACAAAATGTGTGCAATCCAAAACAAAATATAAATGGTTCATATGGAGGAAATTCAGGAGAATGTAATTACATTTCGATTTTTTCAAAAGCCTTTATATTTCGTAACATTGTTGAGACAATGGATATTTTACCTTGTGAATGACGCATTTCCGCAGTCACATATTGGGGTTCTTGTTCACATCTTGATCTGTGAAATGTCACATATTTTTGTATCGATATTTTATTGACAACGAGTACTAGGTAGTTCATTTACAGTCTAGTACGGATAACCTTGACTGTCTTATGATTATAAAAATTAATGTTATTGTGTCACTCTTTCTTAATACAATGTGCATTTATGAATATATTTTGTGGATGCATCCTTATATGAATTCTACTGAACAACATATGTTGTCAATGTGTCTTTATATGATGTCAACCAATCATTGAACGATGTGCATTTATGAATATATAATGTGATAGCATCATTATATAATGTCATCTTATCAATCTTTCATTTTACGATGTGAAATTTTTATTATACGATGTGCATTTATGAGTATATTATGTGATAGCATCATTATATAAGAGTTAATCTATCAATATATTATGTCAATCGTTCATTATACGATGTGAATCTATTATTATACGATGTGCATTAATGAATATATTATGTGGTAGCATCATTATATAATGTCATCTTATCAATATATTTTGTCAATCTTTCATTATACGATGTGATTTCTGAAATCTCGCTCCGGACAGTGTAGACGTAGAAAATAAAGAAGAGATATTTTATATTATTTCAAAGGAATCTGAACTGTATTAATATAGTATTGTGAATAAATTATATATAGTTTGAAGATCTTTATGGAACTGTGTCTATACAATTGTAAAAATCGGATTATTGACTTGTGTTATGCTCAATCAAAACAGATTTTACATTTTCACCGAGCGGGAAATACGTGGGGAGCAGAAAATGGATGACGCGGAATTTACCAGGCAAGATTTTATTGACAGCTCATTTGACAGCAAACTTTTATAAGAAAACCTAATAGTGTCAAAAGAAATAAAAAATAAAAATGCAAAGGCGTTATAACGCGAAACAAAAGGCGTAATAACGCGAATGAAGGCGTTATTAAATACCTAGTCATGACCACGAGATAATTAAGTCGTGGCCACGAGATACTATGGCGTGGTCACGAGTTACTATAATTCGTGGCCACGAAATAAGTTAGGGAATGATATATTATGTCGTCGCCACGAGTAATTAAGTCGTGGGCACGAGATAGTTAAGACTTAGTCGTCAGAATGAGTTCTTTGGAAAAAAATATTAACTGCGTTTTATTTCATCCCCATCATATTTAAAATGGAGCTCAACATGGCACCAAAAGTAATCAAGTAAATGACTGACAGAACGGGATATTTTTCGCAGCATTTTTCGTACATTTTTTTTGTTTTGATTTTTGTTTGTCGTACTTATTTTTTTTTAGTTGAATACATACTTTTTTCTGTTTTGCATATATATTTTATTTAAGTTTTGCATACATATTTTATTTTAGTTTTTTGTACACATTGTGTTTTTGTTATTTCGTACATATTTGTACATGATCATTTGCTTAGTAGAGGTTTGGATAATTACGCCATACGTAAAACACCATTTTCAAACACTTCGCCATCTGTAAATTACAGTACCCCAAATGCAATTTGCAAATACCAATATTTTCATTTTTGGAGTCATCAAAAAAAATAACAACACTTTTTAGTGTATATATATAAAGTCCTGCATATCTGGTCTCGATGTTGTTATCATTTGACACAAGGTGCATGAAAATCCTTCATTGGGTTTAGGAGAAAAGGATCGGACATGAAACCCAAGTGTAAATCCTTTGACCTGTCGGTGTGACTCCGACGTTAAGCCGGCACACCTGGCATATGAGTTCTGCACATTATCTGAATGTATTCAAGAATTGACACAAGTTTCATAAAAATATTTCGAAGCTTTAAGCATTTTTTCTAAATCAGTGGAATATAAGGACCTAATTAGGTCTTTTATTGTGCATTATTGTAATACACCAGTCATTTGTAACCACCTCTTTTGCCCCAAGGGGAGTGTCGGTTAAAAAAGAATCATGTTTTGATGTTATCGCTGTTCCGGGGCATAAGGCAGGAATGTTATTATCTGAGTATTCCCCGTAGGGCGAGGATTTAACGAGAGGTCGGCTTGGTTTAAAGTCAATGCCCCCTCCCCCCACCCCAAAGTGCGTTTGACCCCATAGTGCGGTGTTACAGCGCATAAACGACTACTAAATATATTTTCGGATTTTCACAATGTTAAGCATTAAAGGTCATATCTATTTATAGTTTTTGAATTCATGTACAGCAATCAATACATACATATCCCACTGTGTAATACAAAGTAATTATAAGTCCCCTACCGGCTTACCGGAGGGGACTACGGTTTACCCTCCGTCCGTCCGTCCGTACAAACCAGAGCTACATTATGGGGTTTGGTCTATAGTTCACATAACAATAGATTTCTTTAATGTCATTCATTCCGTTTCTCTTGTGGGGTTATTTTCTGCATTCTGGGGTTAAAAAGAACGAAAGAAATAACAAAAAAAAAACCCATAATGAAGCTCTGGTAAGAACTTCCGTCCGTCCGTCCACAAATCTGGATCCCGGGATAACGCAAATAGTACTGGAAATATTTTTATGAAACATGATACATGGATAGATGGCAGAATGGAGATTAAGCACATCCTTTTCTTTTCTTCCTATTTGGAAAATTCTGGTTGCTATGGCAACAAATAGTCTGAATTTCAAGATTTCTGATTCTAGTTTTTACGTGTTTTCACCATAAGTTCTTTATTTATGTTTTTTTCTTCAAACTTTAAATATAAGTTTCTAGTCATCAACCACATCATATGTTACAAGGTTTAGAACTCTAGCACAAAGTTTATCAGAATTTCCTCCCTTGAACTTAGAATTTTCATGAAAAAATATTGTTTCTTTTTTTAAGAACTTCTTTTTTCTGAACGTATCTACTTGAAACTTCATATATATGTTTCTTATTATCACTCAGCACTCTAGCAAGACTATTTTCAGAATAATACCATTTTGAAAATTGGTAATTTTTACTCCAACTTCTTCAATCATTGTAGGATTTTCTTCACATCATAATAATATTGCAAGGTCTATAAATCTAGCATCCATATTTCCAGAATTTTCTCCTTCTTAAACTTTGAATTTTTCTTATTCATTCTTTTAACTCTTTTACTTCAAATTCAAAATAAACATTCATTATCAACACCTTCATTACTAATTGCTCTTTGTTACACTCACTTCATGTATGACGTCTTGCATCTTTATTTCAAGTGTAATCTCTTTTATCAGAATTTTGCTTTTAAAAATGT